GTGACGGGGGAATTACCTGTCTGTAACGGTCTGTGACGGGGGAATTACCTGTCTGTAACGGTCTGTGACGGGGGAATTACCTGTCTGTAACGGTCTGTGTGTGTGGGGGGGAGGGGGGAGGTCCAAATTTCTACTCCTAAACACTTCAACACTCCTTTCAGATCGTGTTTCACAAAACGAAAGATGGCAATAAAGAAGAACAACATCAGTACTGTTCAAAAACTAGTAACACCGGGTGCTTTTATCATCAACAAAAAATGTTATCAAGTCGTGATGACACAAACATTAGAAAAAAAAAATGATCAAAACTTTCTTGATCCTATTTTTCGTGATATTCTACAACCTCTCATTGACAAGTTAACATCTAAAGAATTGCTACGTCGTTGTTTACGTGGTATAACTCAAAATTCAAATGAATCATTGAATTCTATAGTTTGGTAAACGTATACATTAGTTTTGCTTGATTTTCTTTATTATTATATTCTACTATTTTCTTTTACATATTTTACAGGAGTATACTAAGTAAATCCAAACATCACGGATATCGTTCCGTCCGAGGTTGTGCTGCTCTTGCAGCCATGTATTTTAACTCAGGTAGTAAAATTTTAATAAAATATTTTAGCCAATGTGGTGTAAGTGTTAGCAAAACTTTGTTTGAACATTTTTTGGCAAAAGACAAAAAAAAATAACAAATTCAAAAAAAAAATAACGAACAACGAGAAAATCGAATTCAACGAAAAGCTACAGACAGAACAAATTCAATTAGAGCTTCAACTGATGTAGCTGATTATAATCCTAGTGGCTTTAATTTGCAGTGTTATGATTCTTTTAAAAGTTGAAATAAAACATGTTTTCTGCCCTTGTTAATTTAGTCAACAGCATATAGTTATTCAATGTTGATTAGATTGTATTTTAGTATGGGCAATTATTTACTTGCTGAGTCCGCTATACTGGAACACTTTCCTTTAGTGTTATATATGGCTTTGTTGCTTATTTAATTCTCTATCAGATAGTATATAATATGTAACTATTTGCTTTACTCAAAGCAGAAAATATGTGAAAAACAAGTGGTAGGTAAAAAATCATGTTTTTTCTATTTTCATGTTCATGTTACGTGATATATATTTCTTTTCATAAGCTCATAAAGGAGAAATCTGTTCCGTTTAGTACAGACAGCATTCGATGGTACATCTTTTAGTCGAGACAGATTTTTTGTAGAATATATCATAGGCCTGAAATCGCGAGCAAGGTTTTCAAAAAAATACTTTTGGACATGGAAATCTGCATTGATAAAAGAAAACATGACTTCTAGAAGATGACTAATCGAATCATTATGAAATTTTCAGGATAGTTATAACTTTTGATGCTCTATAAAATCACATTAAAATGAAGTCACAATTTTCAATTTGAAAAATTTTCAATAATGCATATCTGTATGGGGTCAATAAATGCTCTATGTCTTGTGGCAGTCCTAGCTCTGTGAAAAAAAGTCGGACAACTGAAAAAATTTGAGGATATATGCAGCTTTAAATGCTCTACAAAATGGTGAAAAAAAATTGGGGGTGAGGGGTTGGTAAGCCTCCCCCCGCCCTTAATTTCAAACCAGAATTTCTCTTTTTAATGGATTTTCTTTTGTTATTTTCAGCGAAATGTAGATGATGTTTTCAATTTTTATATAGAATTTACATAAGAAAAATTAATGGTAATATCAGCACAAGATCGTCACCCAATGCATGACGTAGATCAAGAGCATTTTGAAAGATTTCATTTATGTAAATCAGTGGGCAATTGGTAGATGCTGAACTTGATTCCATTCTCATTCCATTTTCTAATCTTTTTTCTGTCGTAATTTCTTGTAGTATATCAATAGGAGCTATTGCTGATCATTAAGCAAAACGTACAGGAAGTGTTCGTCTACGTGAAGAAGCGCGTCGTATTCGAAATATTGCCAGATATGAACTCAAAAGATTTCGTCAAGAGCAGTTAACTAAACAACTAGCTGATCGTCACAAATCTGGAAAAGAATCAAATCTATTTTGGAGTCGAACGA